CAGGGTCTCCCTTGGACTTGTATTGCTCTTGGACGGTGAGGCGTGGGTTTTCGCATATTTCCTTCTTTGCCTGGCTTATACTTTTTCGCTGGCTTCTTCTCGGGGTTGACCTTCGTCTTTTCCGCACGACAGGCAACCATCATCTTCTTTGCAGCTGCAATATATTCTGCAATCTTGTCCTGCGTTGAAGGGCGCGACAGAAGATGCCGCGCCGGAGTAGAAGTCGTCGCCCTCACCGTCTTCATATGTGTGGTCTGCACGTCCGCATACGCGTGTTCCCCCTCCTCCCTGGTGTTCACAATACCTCTGTCGCCAAAATAGGCGTCAGTCTCACGCTCCCTGTACAAATAAGCCTTATGCTACGCTACCGTGAGGTGCCGGGCCTCCCCACGTTTGCATCCGAGCCGCGCAAAAATGCTTCCGACTCGCTGCGTGTTTCGCGAGAAGCAACCATCTTCTACCTCTCGGCTTTGTGCCAGCTAAAATCGAAACGAATGAGTGGCCGGAGGCTGGTCACAGCTGCGACAAATATGTGAACAGTTCTTGTGAAGAGTGCAGGGTCTTTGTGCTAGAATTTTGCCTAACCCTGTGCATTTCACATTCTTTAACCAGTCGTATAATACAGTGTTGGCAATAACGACGTTGCAACAGGTGAAGCAACGTGATTTACTTTTTACCACCCGTGGTAACGTTTTTACGCGTTTTTACACGTTTTTACGGATCTCGAACACAAGACAGAATCCTTCATCAGTTTATTTTGTGTTAGCGCGTCATGACGTCCCACGACAAGGAGCTGGCGCGTCTCCGGACGTGTAGTGGCAAGCTCATTTTGCTGGCTGGAATCTTGGGTGACGCCGCTGTAGCTCTGGCTCAGTGGCAATTCATGGCAAGGTGAATACGAATCACAGCAGCCGCTCAACCAAAACGAGACGATGTGCACCAACATCACGTTCGGACTGCCGTTCGACGCCGACAAGTACGAGGACGCTCTGCGCGTGAGCTTACTTAAGACGTACCCTGACTGCTGGAGGCCGTACGGAGATCGGTGTGAAGGGCCTCAATCTTAGTAGCAGCCACCGCACTCGTGTGGCCATCGCTTGTGCGGTGTATCAGGACGTCGGCATTTATCTGCTGGAAGCCGTTCTGTCTGCAGTGGACAGCCATGTGGGCACCAACATCTTCAAGGCGTGCTTAAAGGAGTCGCTGAAGGGCAAGCTGGTGCTGCTAGTGGCGCACTCGCTGAGCTTCGTGAGCCATTGCGACCAGGTCGCTGTGATTGCTGACGAAACAATCATCGAGCAAAGATCGTTCAAGAAGCTGATGATGGTGTCGAATAGTGAGAATGAAGAAGACAAGGAGGACATGACGTCAGCAGGGTGTTTAGAGAATAACTTGGCGCTTTCGAGTGATGAGCGATGAATTTCAATGATTCAAATGCTACATATACTTGGTAGCCAACGTTGGCAGCTTGTATTGAAAAAACTTATAAGAGCGCTCTTTACAACTTGGCACAGTTTACCTATATCTACGCGAGAGGAAGCTTTAGCGTCCGGTCAGCTTTTACGGCGATGCTGCTACAGCAGGCAGCTCCACCCAGCTTGAAAACAGCGTTTCTAGCGTAACCTGTTGAGCTCTCAAACCCGTCAAGAGCTTTCCCTGCGGATACGATCGAATACTTCATCTGGAAGCTCTTGGCTTCGGTTAGCTACAGGAACTGGCTCCAGCTCTGGGTCGTAAACATACCATTCATCGTCACCGACGTTATTCACAATATTTTCTCCATCGTCTTCTAGATCGACGATAATCTCAAGCACGAGGAGACGTTGACGGAGGCGGTCAACCTCAGGGTCCCGTGTCGGACCCGCAGTCGGAGCACTCGAACGAGAGTGGCTCTCGGGAGGCGCCGAGTACTCGTACTCGTACGAGGGCACCTCCGCCCCTGCTTGACCGGAATGGAGAAGTCCACTTCCACGTGGGAGCGGATCCTCCAGGAGCAACGGTGTCGCGGGAAGCGACAGCTCCTCGTGATATGGAGGGGTTATGCCCACTCCGAGAACTCGTGGGAGCCGATTGAACGGCTCCTGATTGACTGCCCGAAGGCTGTCGCAATCTGGGAACAGAAGCGGCGGCAGCTTCATAAGTAGTCCGGGGCTTCTTGCCCGAACGGGGTACGGATGATGAATACATACCGTACCCGCGCTCATCGTGAGCGCTAGAAGCCGCGCGCTTCAGGATGTCCCTTGGCAGCATACGCTTGCTGATCAAGTGGGCAAACCTCACACGAAGATCACGCTGGTCCAGGATGTGGGACAGCTGCTGATCTTCATGGAGTTCCCATAACTCCGAGGGCGAGTACTTGAGAGTCTCCACCCACGCCCAGAACATGTCCTCACAAGAACTCCATGTGGGACAGTTCTCGGGCATAACCCAGGGGTATCCCCAAACAGGATAGAGACCACCCCGGGTCTCGGGCTTCTTACGACAAGTCGTGAAGTCCTTAAGGGGAATGCGGTGTGGCGCGAGAAGCACACACCGAGCAGCCTCCACGTTGTCGACGAACAACTGTTCTTTCTGAACAAGGGCTCGTTCATAGATGCCCCTAGAAGTGTGGCCGCCCACAAGGCCACGAGGAGCGACGAGAAGCTCTAAGAAGAGGTCAGCCCCAGAGCTCTCCTCGGGAGGCCAATACCCTCTTGAGTTGATGGCAGCTCCCTGGCTGACGGGTGCCGCCACCGAACCCTTGGAAATCCTCCTGCTGCTGGTCGAGGTCATTCGAGACCTCCCGGGGCTCAACAATGGCACCCTCCTCTTCCTCTTCTTCCTCCTTCTCCTCCTCCTCATCCGAGGAGCCGAAGAGACTCTGATAGGAGCGTCGAGTCTCCTTCTCCTCGCGGAGTGGAGACTTAGAGGCGGTACGCTTCTTTGAGGGCTTGGCGCCTTCGGCTTTAGAGGCCTTAGCGCGCGCAAGACCCTCGGCAAGCGAGAGACGTTTGCGAGGACTCCCTTCCTCATCGCCACCGGCTTTGGGAGTGCCCTTAGCCTTAACGGCCGGACTCTCAGAGCGCACAGAGGTCCTGGGACTGTGATCACCGTGATCACTAGCGGACGACTGCACGCTGTCTTCTTTGTGCTCACTGGGCACTGGGCTGTGCCCTCCCACAGAGCCCGCAGGAGCATCGTGAGTGCTCTCGGACTCGGCATCGTCCTCACTGCCCGAGTTGAACTCACGTTCTACGAACCGAGGGTTCGGACGATTGTCTGAAGACGAGGGCGACGGACTGCGGCGCCTGCTTGCGCGCTTGTCCGCAGCCGCGTCATCCGAGGATCCGATCGCCTCGGAGGCCACCTGAGTAGCCTCCTTAAGTGCAGAGCCTTTGCCGTGAGGCTTAGTGCTCTTGGCCTGCGCCTTACCGGCTGCAGCCTTGGAGCGTGTCTTAGCACCGCTCTTAGCAGTGCCACGAGGCATGTTAACGGTCGAAGTGGAGACCTTGACGAAAGAGCGCACAGGTTGCTGCTCGAGGCTCTAACTGTAAAGTGAGCCTCCGCCGCGCTCGCGCGGCCGAGTCGATGGTTTTCGACTTTGAGAATGAGAGTTTGTGACGAACATACACGTCATTCTGATTGGTCGGTAAACCGAACCTAAGTGGGG